AGCACTTCATTTAGAGTATGTGTTTCCTTGTTAATTTTTGCCTAGATGATCTATCCAGTGATGTCAGCGGGGTGTTGAAGTCCCCTGCTATGAGAGTATTGCTGTCGATTTCTCCTTTGAAGTCCTCCAGAAGATTTTAATATATGTTGGTGCTCCTATATAGGGTGTATATATGTTTACTGAGGTTATATCTTCCTGTTGGATAGATCCTTTAAATATTATGTAGTGGCCTTCTTTATCTGTATTTTAAATTTATTTATTTATTTTTTTATCCTCACTCGAGGACATTTTTCCATTTTTTGTTCAGGTAGAGTGGGAGGGAGAGAGAGGAACAGAGAGAGAGAGAGAAACATCGATGTGAAAGGAACACATCGAGTGGCTGCCACCCGCAAAACCGACCAGGGCCGGGGACAAACTGCAACCAAGGTACACGCCCTTAGCGGGAACCGAACCCGGGTCTCTCTGGACCACAGGCCGATGCTCTAACCGCTGAACCAAACCGGCCAGGGCCTTTGTCTGTATTTTAAAATCTGCTTTATGAGACATGAGTATTGCTACCCCAGCTTTTTTTTTTTTTCTTTTTTTTTGTCCGTTTGCTTGAAAGATTCCTTTTTCATCCCTTCACTTTCAACCTTTGAGAGTCTTTTGTTGTGAGGTGGATCTGTTGTAAACAATATATATTTGAGTCATGGTTTCTTATCCAGTCAGGTACTCTGTGTCTTTTTATCGGAACATTCAAACCATTATAAACCATTAAGGTTATAATTGATATGTACTTATTTATTGTCATTTTTGTTTAGTGTGGTTCTATTTTTCTTCCTATTTCTTCTACTAATTACAGCAGTCCTTTTAGCATATCTTGCAGTGCTCGTTTGGTGTTAATATATTCCCTTAGCCTTTTTTTTTTGTCTGGGAAGCTCTTTATTTGACCTTCTATTTTGAATGATAGCCTTGCTGGGTAGAGTAGTCTTGGATTCAAATCCTTGTTTTTCATGACCTTGATTACTTCATGCCTTTCCCTTCTGGCCTGTAGTATTTCTTGTGAGAAGTCAGCTGAGAGCCTTATGGGGTTTCCTTTGTATGTAACCTGTTGTTTATCTCTTGCTGCTTTTATGATTGTCTCTTTATCTTTAATTTTTGGCATTTTAATTACTTTGTGTCTTGGTGTGGGCCTGTTTGGGTTCTTCTTACTTGGGGCTGTCTGCCAATATATTCTTTCCAAGCATGTCTTCACCAAGTGCCTGTGTAGGAATCTCAAGGCTGTGCTTTCTGCTGTTGACTAAAATGATCTCAACACTGTCATTCTTTCCTCCTATGCTCCACCTTTTCCCCTCCCCCGCTCCTGCCCCACCACTTCCCTCCCTTTCCTTCCAAGGATGAGGTGTGGTAATGGGGCCAGGCAGATTTGTTGTGATTCTAGCTCCTCCCTTCTTAGCTCACCAAAATGGGAAGATTGAGAAAAATTCTCTAAACCTTATTCTTCTTATGTGAACAGCAGTAATAATTATTTGTGCAGCCTCACTGGGTTAACATGCAAAGGCTCTGGGACATCTTAAGTGCTCATAAACATAAGCTACTTTATTTTCTTCCAAGGTGTGAGGACTGATGCATTAATGCCCTCACTTGATGCTTGAAACTTCTGCTGATCCAGAGCCCACAGGGAAGAAGGCAGCATGGTGATATCCTGTGGCCCTCCCAGTGCTTCCGGCCTATCAATTCTGGACTGAGGAGAAGGTCCCGGCCTCCTTCCCTTCACTCATTAAAAATGACCACGTGGCACACGGCATGTGCCAGGGCTGCTTAAAGAAAACCAGCGCTAGATGGAGCTATTTCACAGTACAAAGAACTACAAAGAGATCTGGGATCAAAAGATTTACAAGACTTAGAGACAAATCCATGCTCAGCACTTAGTATACAGCACATTGCATCCTTAACTATGTTATTATTTAACTTTCTGAATCTAGCAGTCTTCATGTGTAATTCTTACATCGCTGCTGGTCAAGCTCTTTGTGCTTGTAATGACTGAAAAATGACGCATGTGTGTCAAGGATTTAAGGACTTATTAAGGACAGGTAGCAGCATGATGGTCTCATTAAAACACTGTGGAACAGTTCTCCGAGGCGCATTCCAGTCATCTGCCCACTTGAGGAGAGTCGCCAACTGTCATGGCCCCAAGCTGGTGAAAAGCAGTTGCGCAGTTTGAGAATCCCACCGCAGCCAGTTTTGCTTTATCCCTGCTCTAAGCCTCTATCTACACGCTGGCGTTACAAGAGCAACTGCGGCTTGTTAAGGTGGGCGCCTCGGTGGGCGGCGCTGTTCCCAGGATGGCACAGCGTGGACACTCATAGAGGCTGTTGGGTTATTACTTGGTGGATGCTAAGAGAGGTGGGAAGCCCGTGATTCAGTTTCAGTATCACGAAAATCCTGAGCAGCTGTGGAGGGGAGCTGAAAGATGAACTAGCAGCTGTATTTAAAACCTTGGCTGGTAATACATTTAATCCTCACAAAGGTCCTTTATGAGAGCTGTCACCTCTTCCTTTAGCTGAGGGAATAGCAGTCACTTGTAAACATTTCTCCTCTTCACAAAGGGAAATTTAGAGAGCAGTCCTTCTCCACCTTTAACGTGCCTTTGAGTCAACTTGGGACCTTATTAAAAAGGCAGATTCAGCAGGTCTGAGGTTGTCGAGCCTCTGCATTGCAACAAGCTCCCAAGGGGAGGCCAGCGCTGCCGGTCTGCAGACCCCGTTTTGAGTAACTAGTCCAAAGGGTCATATGGTTTCTCACTTGTTTGCCCCCTCCCCCATCCAAGCCACTGGGCTTGAAAGTTGTCTGAGAAAGTGAATATACATAAAATGTAGGGTTCCACAGAGCTCCCTATGATTAGATGAGACCTACCAGTTTCCGAGAGAACTCACTGTTGAGCACTGGTCAGAGTTGCACACATTATTCCCCTGAATTCTCACAGCAGCTCTGCAAGATGGCTAGCATGCTTCCCTATTGGGAAGCACAGCGGGAATCTCTTGCCATATCCATATAATAAATAAGAGGAGGATAGGGAGGGAAACGATATAAAGTAAGTGAAAACAAAGTCCAGAAATGAGTGGTCTATTGACATTACTGCTGAAAGACAAGAGAGAATTGGGTGATTTTTAGGCTCCTGAACTGATCATGTCACTGAGAACCAATCTGTCAGAGAAGCCAGAGAGGAACAAGATAAGCAACGACGTTTTTGACTGCCTGTAGCAGGTGGCTGAGTGAGGGAAGGCAGAGGCCCAATGCTGATGTATTTCTGTGTTTACTCCTCTGCCATGACTTCTGCCTGGGGATTCAAACTGGCACCAGGGCCCGAGGTTTGCTATTCACTCACATTCTTCTGTCAAGAAAGAACCACTGGCCACACTGGCTGCAGAAAGGAGCCTGACTGTTGAAAACCTCTTCCCAGTGATTAGCTGACAGCTAAGCTAACTGAGCAGATTTCAGAGGCCACACACGAGAAAGAAAACAGACATTACATAATTAGGTCAGGAAATACACTAAACAAAGGAGCAAATTGACAACAACAAGTCCTGGAGAGGGAAGATAATCTGATTTCCAGAGTTGCCAAAATATATTTGGGTTCTCACCTGGCCTCTCTTGTCATCAAACCGGGTGGACATCTTTGTATGGACACTGAGGCCTTCTTCTGAAATTATTAAAAGAGTGGGATTTCTGAGCCAGAAAATATTTACTTATCTGAAGAATTAGTAAATTATAGGCTCACAACTCAAAGAATACAAAGAACCCCAGTGAAGTCTTTCTCCTACCCTGTCCCCAGTGCTTCTCGTCCCTCCTCCACCACGTAACCACAATGAAGAAAACTTGTGTATCGTTAGAGATATCTTGTAATGCATGAACACACATTATTGGCTTTTTACATTCTTTTATTTATATTCTTTTCTTTTCTTTTCCACAGGTAGTGGCACTCTGTATGCTGTTTGCATCTTGCCTTTTTAGCTTAACAGTATAGTTTAGAAATCTTCCTATTACTGTACTTAAATGTTTCCTCATTCATTTTTTTTTCTTTATTGATTTTAGAGAGAGAGGAAGGGAGAGGGAGAATGAGAGAGAGATAGAAACATCGATGAGAGAGAACATCGATTGACCACCTCCTGCATGCCCCCCCACTGGAGATTTGGCCCATAACCTGGGCATGTGCCCTGACTGGGAATCGAACTGGTGACATCTTGGTGCAGGGTCGACGCTCAACCACTGAGCCACACCGGCCAGGCTCCTCATTCAGTTTTAAGGCTGCTTAATATTTCATTTAATGTGCATATCACAATTTAATCTCCTATTGATGGACATTTGTGGTGTTTCCAATATTTTGCTATTTAAACAATGCTTCATTTAATAACTTTGCACGTCATTTCTCATGTGTGCTTTATATCTGTTGGGGGAATTTCCAGAAGTAGGCTTGCTGAGGCTAAGTAAATTATACTCCCACCAGCAATGCATGAAAGCTTCTATTTTCCCAGAACCTGGCCACTGTTAGATCTGAAATCTTTGGCCAGACGATAGGTGAACAATTGTACATTATTTTGCATTTATCTTAGTGTGAGATTGACCATCTTTTCAGAAGTTTAAGAAGTCCTTTTTTTTGTGTCAACCTTCTTTGATGGTATGCATTTCTAATAATCACTCAAGCTGCAAATTCCTTTAAATGTTTCCTCATGAGAAGCCCTTAGACATAGACTTTCTGAGTCAGCGTTTGCATCTTTGAAAAGTTATCTCTCTATGTTGCCAATTGACCTTCCAGAAGGGGTGCCTCACTGAAGGTCTCTCTACAGCTCAGCCATACACCTCCCTTCATCATTGGCTCAGTCTCAGAACCCTGCAGGACGAACGGCCCCGCCCCAGGCCCTGCTGCCCCGCCTCCAGGCCCCACCGCCCCGCCCTCCCGGCGTGCCCTGCGTATCGCGTTACATAACGAGGGGGCGGTGCGGACTAGGGTGTGTCGCGGTCTCTCCCAGCTCGGACGCCGGCCTTGTCCGCTCGCAGAGAACTTCCGCCAAATGAAGCGTCCTGCGGCGTGGCGGCGGGGACCTGGGGGACGGCACAGACGAGGCCCCCGCTCTGTCCCCCGCTGCTCCTGGCCGCCGGCCCGTGACGCTCGGAGGCCGCCCAGTTGCTAGGCAGCGGCGTCCGGACGCGGAGGGCGGGGCGGGCGATGGACCAGTACTGCATCCTGGGCCGCATCGGGGAGGGCGCGCACGGCATCGTCTTCAAGGCCAAACACGTGGAGGTGAGCCGGCCCTGCGGGGCCTCCCAGGCCTCGGGTTCCTTTCGTTTCTGTGAGACGGACCCATTGTCCAAACCCAGGCTTGGGCCATTTCCTCCTTGCCTCCCTCCCTTTCGTGGTGTATGCTCATCACTTTAATACTTTTAAGGGGTGGGGCTGGGGGCATCCAGGTCGTGGCCAGTGCATCCCACGAGAGTACCCTAGGAGCGTGCAGTGGATGCTTCTGAGCTGTTTGCCCAGCCCTGCGACTGCGGGGTCCCAGACTGCCTGTGATGTCCCTCTAGGATGGGGTTGGGGCACTTTCCATCCTCACGAGGGCCTCAGGCCTCTGCCCTCTGCCTCCCACCCAGAGGGCGCGTTTCTCATCCCTTCACTCGCCTTTCCCAGACTGGGTTGGGGTGGCAGTGTCTGCGTTCTGTCCTGCACAGACTGGAGAGATCGTCGCCCTGAAAAAGGTGGCCCTGCGGCGGCTGGAGGATGGCATCCCCAACCAGGCCCTGCGGGAGATCAAGGCCCTACAGGAGATTGAGGACAATCAGTATGTGAGTGAGGCTGGGGTTCTGAGGCACCTGTCCAGCCCTCCACTCACTCGCACTCTGAGGGGCCCACACCCACTCGGCTCACTCATATGCTTCCCCACCCCTCACTTACTCCCTTTCTTGTCCACTTACCGACTCTGTTCACCAAATTACTTCATTCCTCCCTCATTCACTTTCTTGTTCACACACTTATTTCTTCCCGTACTCATGCATTCATTCGCTAACTTGCATCTTATTTCTCAAAACTGTGTGGTGATTTCTAATGGTAATGATAACTGCCACCTGTTGAACTTCTGTTCTGTTCTGCAGGCTGGGTTGACTGCTTTCCCTACATTGGCCTTCTGAATTTTCTCTGCTACTCTGCAAGGGTTTCAGGGTCTCCCTCTCTCAGGCCAGGGGAGCAGGCTCAGCCACCAACTCGTGGGTGCTTCGCTTTTCAGTGGAGGCTTTGGCTTAGGTCTGATTGAGGAGTCTGGGTGTTTTAACCGTGGGGCTTCTATAGGCCCTACCCTGTGCTGGGTACTGGCAACATGGAGAGAAACCGGCCCTCACCTGGCTCTTGAGAACGTAGGTGTTCTAAGGGAGATGGACAGAAGCTGTGGGGGCCTAGCTGGTGTGGTTTGTGCTGTGACAGGACTAGGCGGGACTGTGGCCTCATTCTCTTCGTGGCTTTCTCTGTTGTCCATGTCAGGAATAGAGAATGTGCCCAACTTCCTGGAGAGTGATAAAGATAGGTCGACCTTGGGTGGGCGATACTCTGATTTGTTCCCTAATGTCTGGAGATGTCCATGATCTATTAGGTGACAAAAACATGCTATAAAACTGGTTTTGTATGAAAACATATATGTGTGTGTGAATGTGTGTCTGTGTGTGCCGTATCTGTTGAGAAGTCTGGGGGAATGTACTCTAAGGTTGATTATAGATGATAGGGTTTTACTTTTGTTGCTTTAAAAAAATAATTTTGTGTGTTATCTGAATATATGTGTGTGTTTTGATCTATAAAATGATTGTGTAGTCGCCTCAAAATCAGAAAAACAGCAATAAGCCACTCGTTTTTTGAGGAAGGTAAAGGGCTTGCTGACAGTCCCTGTGTGGCAGAGGTGGAGGGCCCATGAGGAGGCTGGTGACGAGTTCCTGCATCCTATGGATCTGCAGGCCTGAGGTTCTGTCTTTAACACACTCCAGGTTTCACCCTGGCCTGGGCCACTGTCTCCTTTCACCAGAACAACTACGGCAGCCTTCCCACTGCTGCCCTGCCCCACAGTAAAAAAATGTAGATGAAGCTGTCCATTCCCAGTGGCTTGTCTTTAACTGAGAGCATTGTCACCATCTGCCCCCTTCCACCTCCGCCTCTCTTTTCACTTATTCAATACAACTTCCGAAGTGTCTCCCCTGACAAGCACTGTCCGGGCTCTGGGATGCAGAACAGAGCAGACGGCCTTCCCCTAAATGGCCCCATGTGCTCATGGAGAGGTCCCTCTCTCCAGTCTGCTCTCTGTTCTTGCCTCAGGGTTTTGTGCTTGCTGTCCCCCTGCCCAGGGTTTTTTTCTAGCTCCCTGCATAATCAACTCCACCCTATTCTTTCTCTTCTGTCCTCCTTAGAACCTGATGTACCCTGTGGGTTTGTTCAGTCATTGATCAATAGTCTGTCCCTTTGTGTTGTGAGCTGCTTGTGGTCCTTCGGGACCCACCAACCCTTGCCCTTGCTCACCCCTGTGCAGCCTCTGTGGCCCCGTGGGCCCTCAGAAAAAGTACGGATGACAGGTCTCCAACTGTCACAGTGCTGGGGGTTGTGATCATCAGTGTCTTTTGTCAGTGCTGGGGTTAAATGGCCCTAGAGGAATGGGAGGAGACTTGAGCTCCTGTGTGTGTGTGTGTGTGAGAGAGAGATAGAGAGAGTTGATTTTCCAGTATGTGGGCTGGGTAGGGGAACTGGACGTTGCCCTAAGTGGCCTTCCTTAGACCCCCTTTTCCTTGAGTGTGAGTGGAGTGTTAGAGTGGGAATGTTTTCTCTCAGGAGACAGGAGCAACAAGAGGGCACCCAGGCCCTTGGTTCCGAGCTCACATCTTATGTCACCTCCTCTGTCTGCCTTACCTCTGCCGCAGTAAGAGCTGGGGGTCCCAGAGTCTGAGCCGTATGAGTCTGAGGCTGACAGGATGCCCTGCCCGCAGGTGGTGCAGCTGAAGGCCGTGTTCCCTCACGGGGCAGGCTTCGTGCTGGCCTTCGAGTTCATGCTGTCAGATCTGGCTGAGGTGGTCCGCCACACCCAGAGGCCGCTTGCCCAGGCACAGGTCAAGAGCTACCTGCAGATGCTGCTCAAAGGTGTCTCCTTCTGCCATGCCAATAACATTGTGCATCGGGTCAGTCCCAACATGGGCTGGGATGGGGCCTGAGGGCCAGTTGGGCTGGGGGTGGGTCCGCCCTGAAGAAGGCTAGGCCGGAGAGGGTGACTGAGGGGTGGGACCTTGTGGGTAAGCCTTCTGGGGTGTGGTCCTGCAGGGGGTGGGGGCCAGGGCTGACCCAGTGTTCAGCCTGCCAAGCCCCCGAGATCCTCTCCTCTGGGTGCGCAGGAGGAACTGATGCCTCCTTTGGTGCTCTAGGACCTGAAACCAGCCAACCTGCTCATCAGTGCTTCAGGCCAGCTCAAGATAGCAGACTTTGGCCTGGCCCGGGTCTTTTCCCCAGATGGCAGCCGCCTCTACACACACCAGGTGGCCACCAGGTAGGGATGGCCAGTTCCCGGGAAGGACCTAGCAATGGACAGGTCCAACGCTCCCACTGGTCCAAAGGTGCTTCGGGGCCTCTCCAGATATTGCTCGTGAGGCTGGTATGGGGGCCAGGGCGACCTTCTGGGGCAGCCTTCTGTCAGACTGGTGACCTGGCTGCCCTCCTCTTACAGGTGGTACCGAGCCCCCGAACTCCTGTATGGTGCCCGCCAGTATGACCAGGGGGTCGACCTGTGGTGAGACTCCTGTGGGCTGGGCAAGGGGGGAATGTGGGTCATGGAGTCACTTTTTCTCTGGAGCATTGGGATCTCTAAGCTATTTCGGGGTGTTTTGGGTGTGAGCTCTCGGTTGCCCGGGTGGCTGGGAAGAGTTTGGGATCAGTGTTCTCTACGACATTTTGCAGCTGGGTGGGACTTGGGTTGGATTGGAGAGGTTGTCCCAGTGGGAGGCGTGTGGGTTGGGGTTGGTGGTCTGAGATGTGATGCATTTAGCTACTAGGCAAGGGATTATATCCCGGGATGCAACGTCCCTGAGTGACCAGAGGCCCAGGTCCTTGGATGTGAAGGCTCCAAGCCTTTACTTGGGACATGCCTAAGAATCTGAGATTTGGTGGCTGTTTTGGAGGTCTGCCCCAGACTGTGAAGAGGTGGTTGTATGTCCCAGAGTGCGAAGCTCTGAGAGGTCTCAGAACTGTTGAGTGGTGGTTGTGTGTTCCAGAGTTGCGGCCTGAGAGATGCTTGGAAAGGGGAATATGCTCTGCGTTCTAGGCTTGAGGTCTTTGATTATACGGGGGCTTGGTATTCTCAGCTGTGAACACTCTAGGCTACCTTGTGGGAGCATTGATCCCAGTGTGAGAGGTAGGCGCTGGTGTGAGATCTGCTTCCATGGTGGGGAGGGATGGAGCTGGTATAGTAGACCTTTGTTCACATTGTGAGACATGGAGCTGGTGTGGGGACATCTGTGTCTGTTGGTGTGAGATGATGTAGCTGGTGTGAGGGCATCTGTGTCCTTGGTGTGAGATAATGTAGCTGGTGTAGGGACATCTGTATTCTTGGTGTGAGATGATGTAGCTGGTGTAGGGACATCTGTGTTCTTGGTGTGAGATGACGTAGCTGGTGTAGGGACATCTGTGTTCTTGGTGTGAGATGATGTAGCTGGTGTGAGGGCATCTGTATTCTTGGTGTGAAATAATGTAGCTGGTGTGAGGGCATCTGTGTCCTTGGTGTGAGATAATGTAGCTAGTGTAGGGACATCTGTGTTCTTGGTGTGAGATGATGTAGCTGGTGTAGGGACATCTGTGTTCTTGGTGTGAGATGATGTAGCTGGTGTGAGGGCATCTGTATTCTTGGTGTGAAATAATGTAGCTGGTGTGAGGGTATCTGTGTCCTTGGTGTGAGATAATGTAGCTAGTGTAGGGACATCTGTGTTCTTGGTGTGAGATGATGTAGCTGGTGTAGGGACATCTGTGTTCTTGGTGTGAGATGATGTAGCTGGTGTGAGGGCATCTGTATTCTTGGTGTGAAATAATGTAGCTGGTGTGAGGGCATCTGTGTCCTTGGTGTGAGATAATGTAGCTAGTGTAGGGACATCTGTGTTCTTGGTGTGAGATGATGTAGCTGGTGTAGGGACATCTGTGTTCTTGGTGTGAGATGATGTAGCTGGTGTAGGGACATCTGTGTTCTTGGTGTGAGATGACGTAGCTGTGTAGGGACATCTGTGTTCTTGGTGTGAGATGATGTAGCTGGTGTAGGGACATCTGTGTTCTTGGTGTGAGATGACGTAGCTGGTGTAGGGACATCTGTGTTCTTGATGTGAGATGATGTAGCTGGTGTAGGGACATCTGTGTTCTTGGTGTGAGATGACGTAGCTGGTGTAGGGACATCTGTGTTCTTGGTGTGAGATGATGTAGCTGGTGTAGGGACATCTGTGTTCTTGGTGTGAGATGATATAGCTGGTGTGGGGGGATAGGTGTCCATGGTGGGGAGTGATGGAGCTGGTATGAGTAGACTTGTGTTCATGATGTGAGACATGGAGTTGGTGTGGGGACATCTGTGTCCTTGGTGTGTGGTGATGTAGCTGGTATGGGGAGATAGGTGTCCATGGTGGGGAGTGATGGAGCTGGTGTGGGGACATCTGTGTGCTTGGTGTGAGATGATATAGCTGGTGTGGGGGGATAGGTGTCCATGGTGGGGAGTGATGGAGCTGGTATGAGTAGACTTGTGTTCATGATGTGAGACATGGAGTTGGTGTGGGGACATCTGTGTCCTTGGTGTGTGGTGATGTAGCTGGTATGGGGAGATAGGTGTCCATGGTGGGGAGTGATGGAGCTGGTGTGGAGACATCTGTGCGCTTGGTGTGGTCTGTGAGCTGTTTGGATTCTGTATTTGCAGGGCTGTGGGCTGCATCCTGGGGGAGCTGTTGAATGGGTCCCCACTTTTCCCGGGGGAGAACGACATCGACCAGCTTTGCTGTGTACTTCGCATCTTGGGCACTCCTAGCCCTCAGATCTGGCCGGTTTGCAGGGCCCTTGGTGGGGAGGGGTACGGGGAGGTGTCCTTTATTGCCCCCAGTCACAGGTGACTCCCCTCTCCCGTACTTTCTCTTTCGTGGCCCCATGCCTCCCTGGAATCCCAGACCATGACTCTGGGCCAGCACGGGGGCTCCTCCCTCTCTGCTGTGCTGGAGGCAGGAAGGCCAGGTCCTGTCCACTATCCTTCCTGCCTGCCCCTAGCACACTGCAGTCTCACCAAGCTGGGGATGGAGCAGGTGCCTGGGAGGTGGGGGCGTGAGGGACTGAAGGACCGAGTGAGTGCATGAGGACATGAGTGATCAGGTGAGAATGGGGCACATGGGTGGGCCCCAGCCAGCCAGCCTGAGCAGGTGGGTGACAGCGAGGACTGAGCACAGAAGGAGCTGGCGGGCAGTGCTGGCCCTGAGGCGCCCCGTTCTCCTCAGGAGATCACGGAGCTGCCTGACTACAACAAGATCTCCTTCAAGGAGCAGGCGCCTGTGCCCCTGGGGGAGGTGCTGCCGGACGCCTCTCCCCAGGCCTTGGACTTGCTGGGGCAGTTCCTCCTCTACCCTCCTCGCCGGCGCATTGCGGCCTCCCAGGTAGGGTGACCCCGTTGCTCTGATCCTCCTCACTCATGCGACTCGGGAGGTCAAGGTCCCTTAGAACCGTGTGTGATGAGGAGCCCAAAGCCACTACACCTCTCCTGAGCAGACCCCAGAGGGGCTGTGGGCGGGAAGGGGTGTCCACCTCAAGAAGACAACACCTCCGGTGACTGTGACTCCATCCTTCATCCCTTCATCCCTTCAGCAAGTATTTGTTCAGCATCAGCATATGCCAGGCTCTGTCCTGGGCCTTGGTCCAGAGTGAACAAGCAAGCGGTCATGGCCCTGTCCCCATGGGGTCTTTACCCTGTGGTGCGGCAGGGCGTCCAGCCGGTGGGAGTGGGAGGCGTCCTGGAGGAGGACAGGTTTAGGCCCGGGAGGTGTTTCCCTGTGAGAGGTGATGAGCAGAGGCCTGGAGAGGAGGACCTAGGAGGACGGGCTGTGGCAGGGAAGGAAGGGAAAACATGGACCAGTGGTGTCAGGGTCTGCGTTGTACCTCTGCCCTCCCCACCTTGGCACTAGGAGCGTGTGTTCGTGAATGCACCTGGTGGGCACCCATGTCCACAGTGCCTTCAGAGCACACTGAGACCAACTCCGCTTCTCAGCCCCTACGGCTGCCTGCAGTCTAAACTGCCCTGTGGCCTCCCAGAGTCTGCTCCTCCTGCCATTCAGTGTCTCCTCCCACCTGGCCGAGAGCGTGACCTTGTCCAGACAGGCCAGCACACCCTCCTCTGCAGGGCACTCCTGTAGCCCCTCTGAGGGGAAGCCCAGGTCCTAGTGGCCCACGGGTGTCACACGCTCAGGGCTGCACCTGCCTGTTCCTGTCCCCCTCAATCACTGCTCTCCAGCCCAGGGCTCCCTCGCTGTCTTGGAGTCTGTGCACTTCTGTCCCTGGACCTCTCTTGCTCACTTCTCCTGTCTCTGCTCAAGTGCCACCGCCCAGGGGCCTCCTCTCACCACTACAGGCCTGCCGCCCCTCAAGCACTGCTCATCTGACGCACTGACTGCTTCTTCATCTTGTTTACTGTCCCCTACTCCTGGCTTCATGGAAGGTTCTGTGCACTGCTGCACCCCAGCCTCTGGAGCAGTGCTCAGTCAGTACCCACACGTGAGGCCGATGAGCAGATGAAGGAATGAGCCTCTGCAGGGCAGCGTTCGGTCTCCCCCTCGGAAGTGAGCTGGGACTGGGACAGGGAGGTGATTGGTTTCTTTATGCTGTTCCTTGCTTGTCACCCCCAGGCCCTTCTGCATCAATACTTCTTCACAGCTCCCCTACCCGCCCACCCTTCGGAGCTGCCAATTCCTCAGCGCCCAGGGGGATTGGCCCCCAAGGCCCACCCGGGGCCTCCTAACATCCATGACTTCCACGTGGACCGGCCCCTCGAGGAGTTGCTGTTGAACCCGGAGCTGATTCGGCCCTTCATCCCAGAGGGCTGAGATGCTGGACCAGGCCCCACCAGCCTGTCTTCCAGGGCCTCTGTTCTTCTGCTCCAGCCTGCGTCAGCCTCCCATGGCCACACTACGACCATTCTGGGCTCACTCCACACCTGGTCCTGCCCCAGTAGAGAAGGAGACCTGAGGCTGTGCCCTTGGCTTCCCATCTGTGTGCTGTGAACATACCCAGCAGAGAGACAGTGAGCCCACTACCATGCTGGCCGTGGTGCTGCTTCTCCAGGCGCTGCCTTTGGTCAGGGATGGTCCTGGTAGAGCCATCTGTGGGAGCACAAAGATGTCCTCGATTTGGAAACCCAAGTGAGAAGGGAGGTTTGGTTTGCTTTTGTTCTCAGTGATAATAAACACTAGTTCTGTTTTGAGATTTATTATGAAAAACTCCCAAGTAGTTCTTCCTGGTGTCTGCCTTTCTTCTGTTCTTAATCAAGAGAAGTAGCTGATGTGGCATCATCTCCTGGTCCTCACTTCTCTGTGGTCACCGGGAAAGTGGCCCCATTCATGGCTCCTCTAGTCTTGGGAGCGTTCTGCGGGCTTTATACGATGGAGCTCCCATTTGGAGGTGACATGAACCAAACATCATAACCTGGCTTCAGACGTCTTCAGCCCTTTGCAGAAGGTGAGCCAGAACCAGATGTGCCATCTTCCTTAGCGATACCGAGCAAACAAGGAAGCCAGCATCCCTGAAACTCATGTTAATTCAGTAAATCCCAATACTATTCGATTTGGCTCTTGCTTTTTATTTAATAATTTGATAAGACAATTGTAAAATATATATGGAAATGAAAGGGTTGAGAGAAGGCGGTATGAATAAACTTCTATAAGCATTGACGACTGAAGTCACTGCTTTTAGAGGTAATACAAAACACAAACTCTAGTTGTTGCTTTCATGGGAAAGTCTGATTGTCTCATATCTTTAAAGATATTTTTGGGATCTGGCCCCTGCCTCTTTCTCTAGCCACATCTGTAGGCTCTAAGCTCCAGTCTATCTCAATATCCGGTAGCTCTCACTTCTACATAAATGGGAGCTTGTATCCTCACCCTTGACCATTGACCCTCAGCCAGCCCCACTCACACAAAACGGTAAACCTTAACCCATTCTGATCTTGACCTTTACCCTGTCCTTAAGCCTTTTACACTGAACCTGACCCTTATTTATCACCCCGACCTTGACATATACACTCACCCTCACCCAATTCTTTGGCAGACCCTTACCTATACCTGACCTTGATCTTAGCATTGACACTCACCCTCACCATAACTCTGACTCCACTTGACACAGAACTTAACCTTGTCCATGAACTTGCCCACTACTTTCACCTTAACACTACCCTCTAATTGACATTCACACTTTGATGCTCATCATGACCCTGATCCTGATGCTGACCATTAACATGGCTGTCATACTTACCCTGACCTTGACTTACCCTTGACAGTGAGTCACATTGGTCATGACTCAATACTATCATGAATGAGACTCTCACCACCCTTAATCTGATTCTGACCTGGTTCCATAGTGTAATGGTTAGCACTCTGGACTCTTGATTCTGACCCTCTACTTCACTCTACCTAGACTGAATTCTCACCTTAACAAGTACCGTCACAGTGACCCACCTTAATCCTGGACTAGAGCCTGACCTTGAACCACACCACATACTCAAGTTGAAACTAGCCTGCACTCCAAACCTTACCACAACCCTGATCCTCTTCCTAATACTGACCTTCGAGCAGAACCTGGACTCACACTTGGCTATTGTTATTGAGTCACCCTAATCCCATCATGACCTTGAACCTGACCTGGACCTTGATCCTGAAATCAGACTTTACACTGACACTGACCATCATTGTCAGCCTGTCCATTGCCCACATCTGGACCCTTCCTTGACCTTGAACATAATCTTGACCTTGAACATAACTGATAGGTCAAATAATGCCCACCCCCAAAGATGTCCATGTTCTAACCTATGTTATTAAGGTTACAGACCTTGAGATGGAAGAGTATCTGGAAAAAGTATCTTATCCAGGTGGGTGTATATGTAAGAGAGAAGTGGAGGTGGGAATTCCAGTAGCAATAGAACATGAAGCCCACCTTGACTTAATTGACCTTGACAATGAACATCATGCTCTCCCTGAACTGACTTGAACATGACACTGACTCTATCCTCACATCAGTCTTGACCCTGAACCTGACACTGACCCTAACTAATCCTGAATATCAGCCTCTGACCTTGGCCCTGAATCCTACACAAAATTGAACATTCACTGTCAACCTGAGTGCAACGCTCAGTCTTTGCTCACCCTGACAATAACCACCCTGATCTTCATCCTTTCACTGATCCTCTTATACAGCGGCTCTCAACTTGGGGGTCGAATGACCCTTTCACAGGGGTTGCCTAAGACCTTTGGAAAAGATATTTCGGATGGTCTTAGGAACCGAGACACTGCTCCTCTGTCTCCAGGTGGGCCCGCCCACATGCAGATACGCCCACATACAACATGAAGAACTGTATTAAAGGGTTGCGGCATTAGGAAGGTTGAGAACCACTGCTCTAATGGATCCTCAACCTGACCCTGATCCTGACCTTGACCATGACTCTCACACTGATCCTGAACTTATAACCCCGGCCCTAAAATTTCTTTTACACTGATTTTGACCATGAACCTGATTGTGACACTGACATCTCTCATCCAGATCCTTAACCTGATACAGAATTTTACCCTGATCTAGACACCCTCACTCTGATTCTGACCCTTGTTACTCTATCCCTGACATTACCTTCAGCCTGTGACTCTGACCTTGAACTTGATCATGACCCTCACCCTTACACTAACTGATCTGAACATGGCTAGGGCCAGGACAAAGTCCAGAGTGAGGTTTAGGGTTCAGGGTTCAGGGTGCAAGGCAAGGGTGAGGACCAGGTTAGGGGCCATGGTGAGGAAGGCACCAGGTTTAGTTAAGGCTAGGGTCTGGGAAAATGCCAGTGCCAACATAAGAGGGAGATTGAGGGTCAGGGCCAGGGTCAGGGTGAAGTTCAGGCCGAGGGTGAGTATCAGGGTCAGAGTTAGGTGAGGGAATGAGGGTACTGTGATTGACAGATGCTAGCTAGTAAGGACTGGGGTGATGATAAGGGCAAATGGGACCAGAGTCAGGGTGAAGGCCAGGTATGAACCAGATGAGAGCTCCAAGTCAAACGCCAGGTTTAAAGGGGGAGGAGTGAGGTTGAGATGTAGGACTGGGCGCATATATTGGTAAGAGATGAGACCAAGGGGCAGGGCCAGCACCACAGCAAGGGCTCCAGAGGCGCGGGTTTGGAAGCACTATAAGGTCCAATGTGAGGCTCAGTGCAAGGACGAAGGTCAGGGCGAGGGTCTGGGTACTGTCAGGATAGGGGTGAGGACAAAGGAGAGGTCCAAGAGTGAATTCAGAGGCAAATTCAAGGCCAGAGATCAGAGGAGCTAATGGGCTATAGGATGGGGCCGAAGTACAGCGGGAGGAGCGCGGCCGAACAGCAGCGGACTGGTTAGGGATTGGCTTGATGAGGCGGAAGCGCACGGACACGGCGGGTTTTGCCTGCGGGGCGAAATCGGATGGGCGGGGATTGGCCGGGGGGAGGGGCGAAAACAGACTGGGCGGGGATTAGCCTGCGGGGTGAAATCAGACTGGGCGGGGATTGGCCTGCGGGGCGAAATCAGACTGGGCGGGGATTGGCTTTCGGGGCGGAAGCACAGAGAAGGCGTGGTGGGGCGGTGGCAGCGATGGGACCGCAGCTGGGGGTCCACGAGCTGCTTCACGTCTTCTCCTTTTTGGACGCCCGAGACCTGCTCTCTGCCGCCCAGGTGGACAAGGTAGTGCGCCCCTGGGACCGAGCCCTGAGTGTCCGAGCAGGCCCTCCTGGGCCTGTTTCCTTTTCGGCGGCCTGGGATCGGCGACCGGCAGAGGGCGCTGTGGCCCTCACGGTGGCACTGCAGCGGCCTCCGGAGGGGTCGCCGTCAGAGCCCCCGCCTACGGAACGCCGGCGTGCTCTGCGCCGGGTCCTGGCAACAAGAAGCAGGAGCCCTCCCGTCAGGTTTCACAACTGAGACTACTTAAGGGAGCGGTTTTCCTTCTTCTTGCACTTTTTATGGAATAGTCTGGAACTTTCTTCCCTGGCTCTGCCTGGAAGGCCACGCCCCTAGCCCTCCTCTTGGGTGGCGACCTCCTGTTTCTTAGCAGCTCCTGGCACTGCCCTGCCTGTGCTGTTTCTGTAGAGTGCCTTAGTCTCATCTGGGCTTCCTCCCTTGTGACACCTGTGTTCAGCTTTTTCTTCCTGGGACTCAACACAACTAGAACTAAGTGCTTGTTTGTAGGGTGTATTTGTTTAAGGACTGCTTTCCTCGCTGCTCAGTCCTAAGAACAGGGATTTCGTCTTTTACATACCTCAGTACTTGAGTTCTGGCTAGGAAAGAATTCAGAGCCAAAACTCAGACTGGAAGATTTAGAAAATCACAGAGGCAGAAGAAGTAATTCCTAGGTAGAGGCAGAGGAAGGGCCCTTGGAGCTTAGAAGTGAGGAAGGTAGAGGTGATGTGCCTGGGGGGAAGGGGAGGGAGAAGGGAAAAGCTCCTGCTTGCTCCCAGGAGGGAGCTGAGTGGCCCTCCTAAGGTTTTTTTCCTTCTTTTTTAAAAAGAGAAAGTGGGAAGGAGGGGGGAGAGGAAGAGAGAGAGAAACAGAGAGAGAGAAACATCCATGTGAGAGAGACACATGGATTGGTTGACTCCTGCATGTGCCTGGATCAGGGCCAGGATTGAACCTACAAGCCAGGTACCTGCCCTTGACCAGGAATCGAACCCAAGACCCTTTGGTGGGCAGGCGAATGCTCTAACCATTGAGCAACACCAGCCAAGGCGCCTCTATAAGGGTTTTAAGGGTGGAGATTTTAGGGGAGGTCCCAGGGGAAGATCTCAGTGGAATATTCAACTTTCTAGGTGTGCCCTTTCAGGGTCTAGGTCTCCACTGATTGATTGGCCAGTGCTAGGGCAGGGGGTCAGCCTTGGTGTCCCTGTCTGGTTTTGCTGCTTTTCTGGGTCTGGAACTGAAATACAACTGAGGCCTAGATGTTATATCTAGGGAGGAAAGGTCAGGTGGTCCAAACCAAATGACCAAAGATATGAAAAGTCCCAGGGTTGGCGGGAGTGGGGGCGTGGTTCAAACTGCATGATCAGCAATATGCTAGGGGACAAAGAGTCACCCTGGGGATGAAGTCCCACCGTACAGTTATCCTTTTCTAGGCACCTGGGGCTTTCCACCCTGGTGATCTTCTGAACCTGGTCCATAGTCCTTGCTCTGCTTATGTCTGTCTAACTGCCTACCATACTCAGTATTTTGTTGAGTAAATTTTAAAATAATTTATTATTTTTACAAAAAGATTAATAAACAGATCATTACCAGAGTTCGATAATTATAATTTTAAATGTGTCAAGTGAATCCTGGGTTTTCATCCCCATTCTTACCACTAAGGTGAGTACCTTAGTGAGTGTGTTGTCCAAGATCATCCAGGTAGTCCCACACAGGGATGGAATTGGATTCCTGCCTGCTTCCACAGCAGCAGGCTAGAGATAGCATAGAGGTATGGTTTGAAAGGGATATACCTTATACTGTTTTATAGCACAGACTTCTCCAGGTCCTAGATTCCCTGTTAGGTAAAATGAGGTCAGTAATCCCTGCCTCAGGGTATATGGTTTAGGGCAGGCCCAAGGGGATCCTTAAAGGTTATATTACATGCAATTACAATTATATTTTGAAGGTTATATTACTTACAATTCTGTATGTGGGAAATAAGATGATCTCAGTTGTGTTTTGAACTGGGAACTATATAAAAGGGTAATAGATACATTTTCTTGGCTGGTTTGATTTTGCAAAATATAAACATTACATTCCTACCTGCCAAAAAGACTTAAAAAAAAAAAATCCTTACCCAAGAACATGTTTTCATTGATTTTAGAGAGAGAGGAAGCAGGAGAAAGAGAAACATCCATGTGAGAGAGACACTGGTTACCTCCTGTACATGCCCCGACCGGGCATCAAACCCGAAATCTAGGTATGTGTCCTGACTGAAAATTGAACCCCCAACCTTTTGGTGTATGGGATGATGCTCCAACCTGCCAAACCACCTGGCCAGGGCCAAAAACACTTCTTAAGGGCTGAGAAAGTTATTTGGGTGAGTGAGGGCTGTAGAAATGGGAGCTTGGGCTCAGATAGGATGGTCATTTTGTCTGCCAGGGGGAAGCCATGTTTCTGGGATAGGACCCTCAGAGGGACTGGGCCATAGATATTTTCAGAGTGGTTCACACTGAAGCTTTGAAGGCTCTAGAACCCAGGGTGGCAGAGGCCAGGAAGCTCCAGGATGCAGGTGTGGGCCTTCCAGGTGCCACTGAGCATCTTCCAGATACTTCTGCTTAGGACAGTTTGTGGAACAGGGCCCACATAGTGCCCTGCCCTTGGCAGCTGTTCCTTCCATCATCTTGGCATCTCTCGGACATCCTGGGGCCAGTGCCTTACTTTACTCCTTTGCTGCAACCTTCTCTCGGGGCCTGCTGCTCTGCTGTCATTTCCAGTCCATTCTTCTCGCAGCAGCCAGAGGGATTTCCTAGAGCACAGTTGGACCCACCGCTCCTCCATCTGCAGTTCTCAAGTAGCCTCCACAGTTTTTGCCATTTTAACTTCTGGGAATCGGTGTAGGCCAGGCTCTCGTCCCTCTCCCCAGAACTTCATGCTCTGAGTAAGGCAAATTATTCACGTCTCTCTCACTCTTCTGAATCTTTGCATAGGTGGTTCTGTCTCCCTGGAATGCTTCAGCCTTCCTCTTAGTGACCCACCCTTTAGGGCTTGATCAGTAATCATTTCTGAGCCCCTTGGCCCCATTGAATTGGACATTTTCTCCTTCCTCTCTCATTATTTGGTGGTATTTGTTTGAATGTGTCCCAGGGGCGGTTTTCATGAGTGCAGGCACTGGTCTGATTTAGCTGTCTGTCCCCTCCACAGGGCTGGCAGGCTAGGTGCTACCTGCATGGTGCCTGAACAGCTCTTTTCTCTCTCTTCTTCTAGGTTTGGAATGAGGTTTCAAGGACCAAGGAATTGTGGAGGTGAGTGAGTGAAGGGAGAGTAAATGTGGTAAGAACAGTGACCCGAAAAGCAGAGGTGGGTCCGCTGGAGAAGTATTTGGAGCACTCACTGTGTCTCTGGCTCTGAGTACACAAGTAGGGTTAGCGCCTACCAGCAGGAAGCTGCTCTCCGATCGGGGGCGTAAGACTCTATTTTTCATAGTATACTGAAATACAAGGAATTCTGTTAACTGAGTTGGAGGTTGATACAAGGCAGGGGTACCAAACTCATGGGGAGGGGGAGAATGTATAGCAGTGAACACAACCGGCTGACAGGAGACAAGTCAACAGACAACTAAAACACTTTTATTTTCATTCATCTCTGGTGTAACCACATAGCTATATAAGCATGTATGGTATCAGAACTTAAATAAAATTCAAAAACTTAAAGTTGAAAAGAAATATTTTAATCATTCAATTATTACATTTTTCTTTCCTATTTATTTATTCTTTGGAACTTGACATCTTTTCTTTGGCCCCAAGATGTAAGTGTCAGGTCTTCTGCCTCTTGTTGAATAGAGGACAGACCGTATCCTTGACTTTCAGCTGCGTTTAATTTTAATAATTTGCGATGGAAAACAGCTGTTCACACATGACAGCTCTTCCAGACATGGAGGGAGTCTTTGCCTGATGGGTTTTTTAGGATAGCTTTTCATTGGGGTATTTTGTAATTATGGAATGCCACTCTTAACATATTTAGTTTTCAGTATAATGTAGCATTGTTGTTTTTGTTGCTTTTCATTTCTTTTTATTGCTAATAACATTGGGAAAATTATATCAATCTATTTAGTTAACTTTTGAAGGAGGAGAACTTTTATTGGATATCAGTCTTTTTTTTATTGTTGTTCATCCTCACCCAATGATATATTTTCATTTATTTTTTAGAGAGAATGGAAGGGAGGGAGGAGAGAGAGATGAGAGAGAGAGAGAGAGAAACACATTGATGTGAGAGAGAAACATCAATTGGTTGCCTCCTGCACTCTCCAGACCAGGCTAAACCTGCAACCAGGTATGTGCCCTTGACCAGGAATCGAACCTGTGACCCTTTATGTTCTTGGGCCAGTGCTCTAACTGCTGAGCCAAACTGGCCAGGGAGGATTTCAGTCTTTATCTCAACAAATTTATATTGTAGATATAAATTTAGTTCTGGAAATTGGTAAGTGGACAAGATTATGTCTTGTCAGATGTGATTCTTAATGACATTTGTCATTAGGAATAAATTAATTGACTGGGGATTGTGCAACTATTTGTAGAAGCCCTTGCAGAGCGATGTTCACCTATTAAAATGGGTGGGATAACAACCCCCAGTCCTCATCTTTTTTCTCATCTTAGCTAGTGAGCTGGGGTAGGAATTTCCATTTGAGTGACATGAGTTAATATTTCAGTCAACAGTTCAAAATAACAAAACTCTTCAGCAGCTTATCCCCTACCCTCCACACAAATGTCATATGTTACCATGTCCTGCTTCCTGGTTCCTCAAGTAGATTGTTCAGCTGTCAGCAAGACAAGTCACAGGCGGGTTTTGGTTCATTACTATTTCATAGCGTTTGGTGGTAATCTTTCTTTTAGTATAAGTTATTCCTTGGGATCGTACCAATTTCTTAAAAAAACAAACAAAAAAAAACACTGGGTTTCTGTTTCTGGGGCTGGGACAACAGTGTGGCAGGAGCATCGTCACATGCACGTGTCATTTCTGGCATTGTGCTTAGCATGGCACCAGGCCCGGGGGCTCTCCAGGCCCAGAACAGTTCTTATGGACATGGTAAATAATTGTGGTTAACTGGTCATATATTTTGAATCTGTACTTAATAATTTAAATTGACAATGCTGCAAGTGACTTATTTAAATGCTTCACGATCTTTTAAATTCTTCAGTTTCTTCACATTAAGTGTTAGCTTTTTGGTTTGAAGTAAAATTGCAAACATTTGCTTTTGTTTAAGGTACATAATTTCTGTTGTGTACAGTAGATTGTTTTGTTTTTAATTTCCATCTGTGAAGCTTTTGGTGCCATTGTATTTTTTTCACTTACATCACTGTGTTTCAGAGGCATATCCCATACTTCACTGATAGTCATACTTAATAATTTAACCTTATTTATAGCTTTTCTTTTTTTTGTCAAATCATTTGATTTTCTCACTTCTTCTAAATATTGGTCACAGGTCCTCTTTATGGTTTGATGCATCATGGTGTTAAGTATGTTGAAATAGACGTCACTCCCACAAAGAAATGTGCCATCTCTCCTTTTTATTAAACTACATTGTCTTCTTGGGCCAGCTTTTATTTTCACACTGTTTAGATTGAGATATGGGTACCAGAAATTTTCCTTACCTCTTTTTTCAGCTAAAAGACAATCAACAGCATTTAAGAAAGGAGATACGAGGCAGCTGGCACTCAACCTCAGAGTCTAGGAGATATACCGGATGTTGAAGACTATGGTAGAGCTGAGAGCTCATGCTTGTCTAAAGGGTATTTGTCTGTATGGCTCCAGACAGATTTTGCCAGGTGGGAATTTGGGTTCAGTATGGTTAGATCTTCTTCTTTTACCTGATTTTTTATGTGAAAGCTCTAGATTTTTAAGTGTTGGCAGTTAGTTCATGTGGGCCATTTCATTGCGGGCCAAACAATATAATCTGGGATCCATTTCTGCCCACAACCTGCCATTATGCTACTTCTGTTACAGGGATCAGAGTTTTGGCAAGCACGGGAAACCTTTATCTAACACAGGCAGTCTACCTTTCTTTGTGTGTTGGAAGGTTCCTAGTGCCTAATGCAGAACCTGGCACGTATGTGGTCAGTGACTGCAGGCTGTGATGGATAGAAACTCCTTCTGCTGTATTTGTGTAGGCCATGGCTGTGAGCCAATTATTTGCTACCTGACCTCATTCTTCTCTTCTGTGAGGTATGAGTGCTGGACCAGAGCCCTGCAGTGCCACATCAGCTCTGGTGACTTGAAATGCTGAAATCCTCTGTCCCGGGAGTCTCCCTAACCTCCTCCCAGCCAGATGTCCATTCTTATGCTCTGCTCCCACGGCACCGTAACTGCCCCTTCTGAAACTTAGCATTTCTCCCCTCAATTTTAGTTTTGCTTATTCTCCTCCTTGCTACCAGCTAGCTGAACGTGCCCCTAGGGCAAGAGCTATGTCTCACTCACATTGGTGCCCACAGACTAGGTGGGGATTCAGTATTCTCTGCAGTGTGGATGAGCTAATATTTCATCCTCAACAATCTTGTGACAGTGGTGCTATCATAGAATTGATAATAATCACTTACAACTTAAGAATGCAGACTCTTGGAAATGGTGGATTAATGATCTCTTAAAGTTTTCTCCATAAAAACATTGAGAAAACTGACACAAATTGTCAAAATCAATTTTTATAGAACTCTGGAGATTAACCGGAGACTTACAGTAGTCTGGGAAATGTTTATTCAAGAAAAAAATGTCTTAATATCAGTAAGAACAGCAAGCGTTCACTTGCTGTATAACCCCCCTCCAACTCTGTGTTAGCCTTGAATGTCAGTAGCTCGTAGTCACATTGAAACCAGGAACCTGGCACTCATTGAGGGGAAGAATGGGATTAAAGAGCCTTTAAAACCTCATTACCAGAGAATTGTCATTATTTGACCTATCTGGTGTTTCTTAGAAGACCTTGTGCTGATTCCCTTTATTTTGCCTGACTTGGAGTTCACCCAGCGTGAAAAGCCTTTACCTTGGGGCATTTGTCAAAAATAATTACAGACAGCTGATTAAGTTCGTGGCTGTCAGAGCTGATGGATGACAGTTACAGAAACAATAGTATAACCAAAAAGCTTAAAACGAAAAGCACAGAATGTGATGATCTTAGGGATATTGGAAAGCTCAGACATATGCCTAGAAATCTACAAGGCCATGCACACATGCAAGGCTTTGTGCTAAATTGGGAAAGACCTAAGAGGGATCTAAACTGGCCTCTGGCTGACCTTGAGACTCTGTATGAGCAGAAAGTGAAGGATAAGGCTGAATGTTGAATGCATGCTCCAACGTACACACAGAGCCTTGGCAATGACTGGGAGACTTGGTGGTTCTAGACATTTAGGAAATCTCTGTCTAGTCATTAGTGAGCACTAAGTTAACCGAGCAGAGACTTAAGTGGCCAGACATAACAAAGAATACAGACTTTACAGAATTAGTTTAGAAATATCACTAAAACAATAATAACAAACAGAATAAACAACAAACATGGGGCAGGGGGAATCAGATTTTCAGAGTTCCACATTATGTATGTCATTTAAAATCTTCAGTTTTCCTTTTTGTTTTATTTTATTATTTTTTCATTAATTAATTTTTGTTACAGATGTTTCTCCTTTTCCCCTCACTGATCCCCCCTCCCTCTCCCTCCCCGCCCTGTCCCCAGTTTGTTGTCCATGCCCACTGTTCATGCATACATGCATATAAGTTCTGTGGTTTATCTCTCCCCCACCATCCCCTCTTCTGGGGATTGTCAGTCTGTACCCCACCTCCACGTCTCTGGGACTACCCCATTCCTCAGACTGTTATGTTCATTATATTCCACAATAAGTGAGATCATATGATACTTGTCCTTCTCTGTTTGGCTTGCCTCACTCAGGATGATACTGTCCAGGTCCCTCCATGTAGTCTCAAAGGACAAGAGATCTTTCTTTCTTACAGCTGTGTAGTACTCCATTGTGTATATGTACCACAGCTTTTTTATCCATTCGTCTATTGATGGACACTTGGGCTGTTTCCAGTTCTTAGCTATTGTAAATAGTGCTGCTATGAACATGGGGGTACATATATTCTTTCTGATTGGTGTTTCAGGCTTCTTAGCGTATATTCCTAGAAGTGGGATCACTGGGTCAAATGGAATTTAAATATTTAATTTTTTGAGGTAACACCATATTGATTTCCATAGTGGCTGCACCAGTCTGCATTTCCACCAGCAGTGTACCAGAGTCCCCTTTTCTCCACACCCTCGCCAACACTT